TTTTTAAATGGACTATAGGTAAGTAGAATAAAAAGAGTGTTCCTTAAACTGGACTGTTACATTTCCTGAACCCTTCATGAAATACTAGGTTTAATAACAAAGATTTAGTTCTCTCTTTTTTTTTTTTTAAAGCTAATGATATTAGGAAGGTGGTGTTCTATAGTCTTACTGGCTTTTTCAAATGTGAAATAACTGTTCAGTTTCTAATCTTAGTAGATCAACCTCTGAAATAATTAAAATTTTGAAAAGGACTGCAATTCCATGAATACCTTATTAACTGTAGTGTAAATCTTCCGGGTATATATGGACGCACCTAAACCTTTTAGTTTTTAGTATCTCAATATTCACTGAAGCAGAACTTACTTAGTTCTAGAATCTGTGATGAAATTGTGCAAGTGTTGTCATTGTTTCTCAAATAACAGTGAATTTTAGAAATTTTACTTAACTCTCGCTTGTTTCAACTTTGACAATCTTGAAATCAGAATACTTGCTCTAGTTTTGTTAGCTCTCACTGTATCGGTTTAACTGTAGCATTTAGTTTCAGGGCCTAAGAGAGATAGAAATCTAGTTTTGGTGGTTACTCTGCTGAAACAGAAAACAGAAAAGTAAATTATATTTTATTTTAATGATTTTTTTGAAGTAATCTTAACAGGTTAGATACACCAAACTAAATGGGAGTGCTGCTTTTATTTGATGACGAGGGCATCAGTTAGGATCATCATGTGAATAATAAGGAAAAAGTTTAGACAAATATGTGTGTTGGAGAGTAGGGGTCTCTGGTGGTAAAGGTGATTGATGGAGAAAAGAAAGTGAGCAATGATTTAAAAGTAACAAGTGGAAAGTGGTGGTGAATCGAGATGAGCAGAAGAAAGTTGTGTACAGCGTCTCATTGACCTGTGAGCTTGGGTTTGAATGTGTTCCATATGTATGAAATGTTTTATTACCCGAGAATATATATAACTCCTGTTTAATTAAAAAGGTTGGATTGTTGGGGTGTTTTTTTATGGGTCATCTGGGAGAAAGCTTGTTTAGAGAGATAAGACATGACTGACACCAGCTGAAGAAATGTTTGAAAAACAATGTATTAGCAGCAGTATTCAATAAATAAAGTGGACATAATACTTCATTTAGGATTTAAAATAATCTTTCTCTCTTCATCAGTTTTTATCATTGCAAGCTTTTCTCTTTTGAACATATACCATGTTTTGAGATGAGTTAGCTATTCTGTTGCACCTAATTTAGTGTGTGTAGGTGAAGTGGCCCAATACCTGTTTTGAGTTGTTCTGTCCTTCCTCCATGGAATAATTTTTAGATAATTGTTATTCCTAGGGAACAAAACAGAGTTAATTTAAAAATAATAAATAAAATAAAGACTTCCATATGGTTGATATCAAATTTGTATTTTGTCTTCCCATCTTTAACAACATGCAGTTTTGGCTCAACTTCGTATATTGCATTTGCAGTCGGACTCAAGTTCATTTAATGGAACTGCAGCCTAGGTACTAAGTTGGAGCTTTTTGAAATTCTCACTAGGAGCTGGTCTGCTTGACTCTTCAACAATCTTTTGATTTAGCTTACTCTATTTTAATCACCGTTTCAGTGATTGTTACCTTCTTACATCTTATGCTTTGCAGTTTCAGAATGGCAAAAAACCTGCTAGGTAATAAAATAGTAATGTCTATATTTCTTGCATGCTAGTACTCTATCTAAAATGTTGTAGGTATTTACTTGTTTGGTTGGCATAAATGTTTTGCCTTTAAAGGTCCCTTTGGGACAGTTCTTCGATATTATCTGCAGGGTATGTGCACAGGAAGGACAGCAGTGTCTTGAGACACAAATATACAAATAATATTATGATCCTAGGTAGCTTTTTTTTTTAAACAGTCACAGTCAGCAGGGTTCAGTAATTAAATATCTTCCTATTGCCAGTATGTTTAAAAGAGAAAGTCTGTCCAGCATATGTGAGGAAAAGCTAATTCCAGCAATCAACACGAATATCTACACAGAAAATCCCCTGAGTCTCATTTATGAATACCTGCCCCATACAATCTTGTGTCGTTGTTGTATTTCAGGTATCCACTTACGATGAATGATATTTGATCCTATTATCATCATTATTATTTCAACCAAGAGAAGCAAAACTTGACGGTAGGGTGGGATCCTCAGGAGTTACCAACTCTGGCCAAACTGCGTTTGGGTCGAAGTCACTGAGAGTTTCACTGTTGTTTTTTGTGGGAGTCAGGTTAGGTCACTGCGCGGTACTTTTGAAATCCCACCTCTAACTATTTCTGAGTTGAGTGTGTGATTATTTCCTCACAGGGAGGAGTCCATCACCACAGCTTTCCAAAAACACTGTAGAAGTGACATGTGTCAGTCAAAGTACCAAATTCCAGTAACTTTAACCATCTCCTGTCTGAGAAGCTGTATTAATAAGGCTAATAGGCTGATGCTGAGCATTTGCAAGCACAGTAGTGAAAAGAGTGCCGTGGGCTTCACTGGAAGTTGGAAGTCCTGAAGATCTCCAGGATCAGGCTCTGGATGAGCCATTCAGTACCATGTGCGGTCTCTCATAGGCTAGTTTCATGCTTGCTTGCGGTAGTGGGAACTAGCCAGCCATGACAAAAAAAGAACATTGTGGGTCTTAAGCTTGTGCTGGTGCTACTTCTGCTTTTAAAGTGAACATGATCTGAAAGCCCCTCTGCACTCAGGCGGTGAAAAGCACTCAGCATGTGCCATAGCATCTGAAATCTGCGGCACAACTTGCATCAGTGCATGCTGGAGGAGTGAACCGTCTGGCATGTAGTGTGCTCTGGAGTTAACCCATCTCGTACCTTCGGTCTTCTTCCTGTTTTTCCCCTTGGTCGTGCAGAGTTAGTGGCATGGACTTGTCTAGAGGTGGGGGGGAAAGAATAGCATGTAAATTTACTTTCAGGTCACAGGCCCTCATTCTACTGGAGTGACTCACTTGAAGTGATACTAGTGTCCGAGATAAACCTCTCAGATGCGTCATACAAGATGCTTATTATCGTAATTAATCTGTCACGATATAGTTATCCTTGGCTCAGCAGCCTATCAATATATATATTACTGATACACTGTCTTTCTAAATGAATGTTTCTGTGCAAGCTGTTGTGGATCAGCTTATGGCTGTGGAGCCCTCCTAGTTTCCCACAACAGGCATCCCTTCTCCTGATACAAGGCAGCAGGGACTGTTAGTTGTTGATGCCGTTGCCTCCGGCAGCAAACTGCTTTGGCTTGCAAACTGACTTCATTCTCTCTGTCCTCAGCTGCATTTTGCCACGTAGCTCTCACACAAAACGCCACGTGCTGTCACTGGCTTGGTGTTGTCCTGATGGTGCCTTCTCCCGCATCAGGCACTGCCACGTCTCCATCTCCATGCTTAGCACTGTCTGCAGAGCCTTCCCTGCTCTGACTCTGCCTTCCCCAAACCAGAAGGCTGTAGGCAGAAGCAACTCTCCTCCGGTTGTGGCACTGCTGGGGATGGCCTGTCAGAGTGAGGAAGTCTGGTAAAGCATGGTGGGGACAGGGCAAGCTTTCAAATCTGTGTGGCTGTGAAGAGGACACTGGCTGAAGGTGTTCTGCTGGGCTGAGTAAACGACTGGTGCCATGTGCAAGTGGGTGGTGAAGAGATGCAGGTGAAGCATCACCACATCCTTTCTGACATAGTGGTGAAGTTCATGCATCTTGCAGCGGATCAGCACGATGGTGTATCAGGGTGCCAGGGGTCAGGACCTCTTGTAGGAGGGTTTGGTGTGAGGTGGCAAGTGAAGTAACAAAGTCTGAGTTGGGGAAATAAGGGCTTTCTGAGCCAGCAAAGCAAAGGTGATGTTGGAGAAGGTACTGCCTCAGGTAGCCATCACAGTTGAGCAATGAAACCCCCACCACCCCACCAAGCTTGCAAGTGAAATGCCTTGTTCCACCTTGTTGGCAAAGGATCTCTTATAGATAAATGTGTGACTTTCCATGTATGTTGTGAACATGCAGGATTATTACAGGGGTTTGCATTGTTACAGCAAGATAAACGAAGGTACTGTGTATGGTGGACATTTTGCTGTGAGTCTCTATCTTTACAAGTACATCTGGAAAATTCATAACTCTGCATCTGAGATAAGTCAAAAGAGTTCCAGTGGATGATTAGGTTTTTGTGTGTCTGAGCTGCAACCTGTATTCTTGGAAGTCCTATTTGCGAAGTTAGCTAAATATGCTTTCAGAAGTGTTCTTTTTCTTAACAGTCATAGGAGCAAAACAAGCTTTGAAAATAAAATGACAGTTAAAATGAGCGTTGACAATGCAAAGCAGTAGTGTATGATTTATAGTGTTGTTTTAAATATACCCAGTAACATTTTTAATGCATCAGAAATGATTATCTAACTTCCCTAACTGATCTTGTAACTTACTATGATAGCTGACTAAGAAAGTGAGGCTAACGTTGTAGAAGAAAAGTACGCATTTTACAGTTGTCTTTTGTGAAGTTTCCCAAAAATAAAAAACAAAACCCATACCAAAAACATGTTTCTTCTCTGAAATGTGTTTTGTTTGGTTTATCAACTAGGTAAAGAAAAATGATTGCATGGGATCAAAAGAAATTGCTTATCACAATTTTAGGTTGTAGCCTCTGTTCAGAGAAAGGGAAGGGCAGGAGAGGATGCAACTTAATTTTACTAGAAATGCAAGAAGAATGAGATTTTGAAAAAGATTTACACCTTTTTAGTAAAGATGCTTCTATTTTAAAAAGATTGCTACTGGGCCTTGGGATAAGCATGACTAAGCTATGTGCTGGTGTCTTAGCAACAAAGCAGGTGTGAACACAGTGTTTTAATATCTGGCTGCATAGAGATGATCTTTGCTTGTCCGAATAATGATGTGCTTTCCTCAAAGTCAATAAAATCTCACCAGTCTAGAGCAGGACTTGTGTGGCAGTAGATAAATGTATTTAACTTGGACATTTTCTTCTCATTCATTTTTGCTTCTTTACACAGGGAGTGAAGTATCTGTGCATTCCTG